ACCACTGATACCACTATTCTTGAGCATTATCTGGATATTGTACCTCTGTATCACTACTGAAACAAGCACATTGTAACAACCTAAAGTCTTCTATCACATGTTATTGCCCTTCTTCTAATAGACTATAAAGCTGCTTCTACAGCCTTAAAACAGACTGGTTTACAACTAGTGTATGGATGTCTATGATAGATATTATTACATAAGAAGTATACAAGATGTGTGACTGATAGAACACCAATTGCTCAAATTGAGGCCTGAGTATACTGAAGTCAACATGTAAAGTCCAAGTTGTGGCCCAAGTACCCCAAGTACCCCAAGTATATAGACTTGGGTCAAGTCCGTGTACTTGGGACCAAGTACATGGACTTGGGGCCAAGTACATGGACTTGGGGCCAAGTACACGGACTTGAGTCCAAGTACATGAACTTGGGCCCAAGTATGGGTCCAAGTCCGTGACGTTTTCCTGATGCACAAAACGGCGTGTGGAGAACCTGAGGTCATGCCAAGTCAGGCAGGACATAGGCCCAGATGAAGAGCAGAAATAGAGGGCACAATATGGATGTAACGCGCTCAGGACACGGTAGGAGTGAGGAGACGCGCCACGGACTCGCGATTGTCAGCCGCAGAAGGTAGGAGGAGCTGGCTTGAGTGTACTTAGCGTGCGAGCGTCGAAGGAGCACGTGACCACGAATGAACCCTAACCCCTCTCTGTCCCATGCGTCACATGCTCTCTGTCCGGCCAGCGACAACCCTCACACCTTCTGCTCGACTAAGTCACATGGAGTCCACACAAACCTCGACTTCTCCTGGAAGTCTGGAGGTCTCCAGTCCCTCTTCAAAAATTTCAGGTTTGCTTCGCTGACGTTGGATGGGAACTTCAGACAGACAGGCGACGGAATAGAAGAAGTCTGGGGCCTAAACGGTGCGTCGCCGCTGCTCTCTTTTCAGTTCCCCTCCGATATCCTTCCCTCCACACATCTCCGGCTCAGACAGCCAGCCTTTTTCCGTCTTGCTTTGTGTGCACAGATGCTGTCAATACGCACATCGGACGAGGAGCCTTGTGTGTCGCTCCTCGGGTTCGGCCATGCATATGATACCGGTGCTCTAACATGGGTTCAATGTCGTATCTGTTGTGTATGCTCGTGCACCCCCGTTGTTTGGAGTTCATATTTGACGCTGCCAAGAGCGCGGAGGAGTGCGACTCCGAGGAGGAACCACTGGGAAGACCTCGCGCTCACGGGCCACTGCGACCGCACTCCGACGTTCGCATAGCTTTTATCCGGGCCCTTTTTCTCCACCAACTAAGAGACTACTATTGCGATCTTTGTATCACCGTTGTCGCTAGATCTCCCTGTAAAAACACCCAATTCATCCAGTGGGTTGCCAAGTCCATTTACTGGCGAGCCTCGACGCCCACCCTCTCCTCACCTCAGTTTGCACCCGCATTTCTCCGTTTCAGGTTCGGATTCATCTACACAGGGACACTCGTATTATGCCAAACTACCTTCGACACTCTACGCCGATTTCGACATCATGCGATTGGGGACCTACCTCGGTCTCAACACTTAATGACGAGATTACAGCTCGTGTTGCTCAGGAGATGACGCACGATCTCTTTCACGCCTTGTTCTACTTCTGCGAGTATGAGGTCTTCATCAATGGCTATGGGGTACAGGGGGTCGCCGTTGCTGTCAATGCGCACGTCGCGCCTCGTGTGTACTCGAATTCCCTTGATATGAGAATATCGAGAATCCCCATGACGTTGGTCGATCTGTTGTAAAAGAGGTATTGTACCTCAGTATTTGCTGCGCGTGACCCCAAAATCGGTGCGCTTCTCGTGCTGCGTCTCCAGAGCTTTGCTTGGTATGGTTATCAACCGGGCCCACCCCAAATGGTGATTGTGTCGCTGTTGAAGACATCGTGCAGTTCTCTGTCAGGAATTCTTCTTCCGTACGTCTTCGCCGTTTGATCCACGTGTGAACATGGCATGAGGTTGATGCACAGCTACGCAACAGGTCCGAGCTTCCCGACAACTATGCGGCACAATACATATACGGGGGATTGCAATCGCTCTCATTCGTCCACTCGGCTGAACCCTATCCTCTGCCGCTCGACCCGAAAAACCATCGCTTTGATTCCATGAAGCGCACGATTGTGGTCAACGCTATGTCTCTAGTCCATCTGAGCGTTGCTGGTGACGTTCTATGGGCGTGCAATGTCGCACTTCTCTCCTGTCTCTTCTGGCCACGCGATCTAGTCGGCTTGCCCTCCGTATTCATCCATTGCACCCTTCTGCTCACTCGTATTGCACGTGGCCGGGCCGGAGTGTGCAGCATTCTCTACCGTCCTCAGCAAACATCACGATGCGTTTCCACTCCTTACATACTGCAAACTGTGGTTTGCATGGACGCCAACCAGCGACGTCCATCTTGCGGCGGAACTCCTGCGCAGGAAGCCGTCCCTCAAATGCTTGGACTTCACCAACATGGGAAAGATTGCGTATAGATCTGATCTCAGCAATGAGCCAGTGTTGAGCATCCTCCGCGAGCTACCTCTCCTGAGGGTTTTCGGGTGCAGTCTATTTCAAGATGATCTGACCTCGGACCATGTCATGCGTCTCGGTCGATACGTTCCACGCAATCTGGATGCGTTGTCTATGCTGTTCTGCGTCAGTAAGACAGCGGTCAGTGATACAGATTGGGAGCAACTGGTAGGGCATTTCCTTTGTCGTGTGACTCCTAATACTGACAACTATCAACTAGTTTAAAGGGTGTTCGTCTTGCCGTTATCTGCACATTCGACAAGAACAATGGCTGGGCCTTCGTCATTTCATTTCCAGGTGCCTGCCAGACTCCGTGGAGCTTCTCGGTTATGACCACGACCTACGCTGGGTTCTACGTGAGTCAGTCACCGGAGATGTGTCATGCACAGACAGTTGGCCCCCTACGAGGGTGTTGTTCGCAACAGCGAATGATTTCGGTTGCAAAGAATGGAAGTGGCTGTTTAGGCATCATGGCCCGACTGCCTGGAGGCTCCGCGATCCACATAGGGTAGACGACTCAGCATGAATAGTAACTTGTGTGCTCGAAATCGTTCTGCCGCACAGGGCTATGTTATGCGCCAAGGGGTGTGACGGGCCTATTGCTTAAGAGGAACAGTATGACGTGAAATCAGGGACATATAGAGGTAGTTAATGAATCAGCTTAATATTGTTATCGGGTGCGACGAGCTCGCCCATCGTATCGCTCAGGAGTATCTGACTGTCAATGTCCGGGATTGAGCCTTCCCTTGAGAACCGAACCGATACAATAGCGCTGCCTACTAGGATGCCTATTTGTCGGATCCCCGTGTTGTATCAATATCTTCCAGTCGCACAACCTTGATATATAATCTCATGATGAACATGTTGTCGGAATCCACCACTGAAATGCACATCATTACATGCATCTTCAACCTCAACTTAGGCCCTAAGCCCAGGTCTTCTCTGCCTCGACCAGTGCATCGATCGTGTCCTCCACCGTCTTGCGCCAGTCGACGTACTCAGTGATCCCGAGCACCTGCTTCGCGCGAGTCGTATCGTTCTTCGATAGCGGGCCCGGGAGCTCAACTGCCTTCTCCAGCGACGGAAGCCTATTACGCAGCCCAGGGCGGGCCTCGTAGAGGTGCTTGACGGCAACATCCCAAGTGAAGGTTTCGGGGCTCGAGACGAGGAACCGCTTCTCCTGACGATCGGCACCGGCGGGCAGGGGCGGGAGCTCGAGGGCGCGGACGTGAGCACGGGCGATGTCGCGCGCATCGACGTGGAAGGGTGGGGTCTGGAAGGGGAGGGGGCCGCCAGCTTCGCCAGCGATGAGCTTGTATATGAATCCTACGCTGCTGAGAGAGGATTTGGAAAGGGGGAGAACGGGCGGGCCGAAGACGAAAGGAGGTAGGACTACGCCGCGAACAGATATTAGATGTTGCGAGTCGAGGGAAACGTGGATGGAAAAGCTTACGGGTCGCGATGTCGATGTCGAGGTGCTCCTTACTGAACGCCCAGACTGCTTGCTCCGCCAGGATCTGCGCTCCAAAGTACGCATATATGGATTTACCATCGTGTTGGATAAGATCCTCACGGGACGTCTTGCCCCAGGCTATTCTGGGTGTAAGCCGTAATTCCAATCAACATCAACTATGATGTGACACGTACTCTCCTCGAAGAGTGTGATGCCCTTGTAGGACTCCGACAAGTCCGCTACACCCAAGGAGAGATCAATTAGCAATCGCCTTGTGATTTGTCATGAGGATGGCGGCTTACGACTTAGAAGTGTCACCCAGCTGCTATTCAATACCAATTTCTTGACCCCTTTATCGTTCGCTTGGCGGATGACATTCAGCGTTCCGTCTATGACGCTCTGGACCGGCCTGTCAATGTCATGATCAACGAGAAAAATTGACGACACTCGCCTTAATGAGGCTATCCGCACTGTCCTTGTTGAGCTGAGACGCTGGAACGTGAACGACCGCGTCAACCCCTTTTGTGCCAAACAATAGAGGATTTCAGTTAGCCGATGTACGTACGAAAAGAGACAGATTATGAACCATACCTTGAAGTGCCTCTGTGAAATCGTCCGTTGCGATGTCGTCAATTTGGATGGCCTGAAACTCTGGGACCGCCTTCCAAAAGTCGCGCAGAGTGTTGACCTTCGCGCCGCGAGCAGTGCTAGAGTGCGGTGCGTGTCAGGAGCGCGAGTATGGGATAAGAGAAATAGATGGACCCTCGGACACGATATCCGGCAGATAGTAACTGCTGGACTACGTGACTGGCGATGTAGCCGGACGCGCAAGTGACCTGCCGGACGATGAGCTCAACTTGAAGTCGCGCGTTGACAATACGCACCAGAACGAGCTTGCTGGAAGACATTTCTGTTGGTTCGCTGTTCGCGTGAATAAATCGGTGCGACTGTAATTGTGCTGCTCAAGGAGTTCTCCTCTGGCTTTTAAAAGACGTCCACTCCTCCGTATTCATGACACCGGTGATCGGGATTGAGTGTATAAATCATGGGTGAGTAAGGCATTCAGCCACGTAACTTTCCATATCGGCTCTATGCCTTACTTCTGTCTCAGGGGGCCTGTTTCCAGGTGCAGGATGACTTAGCAACGTGTCGAGGTGAGTATGACAAAGCAGGCTTGGGGAGCTCCACTCACCGTTGCTGCAAATGATGCAACTAACCAACTTGTGCGGCAGGCAGAGCTTGGCTTTGATGAATCGACTTCGCCCATTCCCGACCGGACGTGAGGTATAAGGTCATTCAGTTGAGCTGTACAGAAGCTGAATGGATCCGGTAGCTTCCAGCCGGGCTGGCTAGTCAGTAGTGCCTTTGACTTGTGTGCGGGTTGATGAGGCCAGCGAACGAGGACCGATCCGCAGTGATCCTGCCCACGAATGCTTCCGAGAGCAATCTAAACCGACAACTTGAATATCTGACTCAGATGCAAGCAGCCTCGGGTATGTTGTCGACAGCAGAGCTGCGAGCACATCGGACCGAACGTCTTTAGACGCGTGTCGTGAGAAGTTCACGCAGCCACTGTACTCACTGCCCACATCATCCGTCATGTTATGCCCCACGTTCTCACCTCTTCTTCTGGGCACGGACACTTGGCGACTAGACGAGCGCGAATGGAATGAGGCACAAGCTCGTGATAAGGAATTCTCGCTCGAGAATCTCTGAAGTGCCCTTCACAGGGAAGCACGCTCGACGCACCACCCTGGCTAACCGATCTATAAGTCGAAGTTACGGCGATATCAGGAACGGCTACGCCCCAATCGATGTCACTGTCAACATGGTTCCGTCTAGTAAGTTAGTTCGTTGATGCTAGCTCGGGCTGATGCGGGGAGAAGCTTGCAATCTCGAACAAACCAGCCCCTGTCATCAGAGCTCTTAGGGCCCGTCATGCCTGGCAGCCATATGTTTGGGCCTTCCTCCAGGAAAGCGGTTGAGCGGCCCTTTGAGGATGTCACAAACAATGACGACGACGACCTGCATAGCCTTGCCGCTAAGCATTCTGCTGAGATTTTACTCCTCCGGCTTCTACAGACATCAACACCCGTCCGAGGGTACGCCGCAAACGCATATTTGGTTCCATACACCTGTACACGCATATATGCATGTGCCAGCCGCTCCGAAGACTATGGACGCAGCCCCGGAAGAGGAGCGGAAGCGGCTCGCCAAGGCAGTGCTCTCTCGCCCCGCTTGGAGTCAGATAACGTTCATGCTGTTGCATTCAGCTTAGTTCTTGCTTGTGGCAGGAAGTGGATTAACCTTCCCTTTTCAGAACCAGAATATCCATGCGACCAACAGTCGACCAGTGATCCACTTCTCATGTACTGCAGAGATCCGGACCCTCTCACAAAAGTCGATTCGCCTTACCTGCATGGGCTACGGTCGAGGTGAGCGAGCTCATCGCCACTACCTCCTGGGTCGCTCGATCCGGTTCAACTCCACGGTCCGCAACCCCTCCCCCCGCGCCCAGTCCGTCTTCCGAACCCGGGGCTCCCGCGAGTGCACGCGGCGATATGTCGGCGTCCTCCAGCTCGGCGGCGTCGACGACAAATCCTTCGCGTTGCCTAGTAGCTTGTGCGACCACCGAGTTTCCCCGGGCTAGCCTCGACCGAGGCGACGTTCTGGGATCTCGTAGTGGCGTACGAAGGGGACGATGTTTGCCTAGAGCCTGTGATAGATACGCACGACCCGCGCGATCCACAAGCGTACGCGTTGAGTCTCCGCAACTCTCAATATACGTTCATCTGCGCCGTCTCTATATTCGTAGAAGCTTAGTTAGCCAATAATTCGTCCACGTGAGAATACATAGTCACATACAGACTTTGGAGTGGCACCATATGGGCCACTGGCGATTGAGACTGAAGGCCTGCGTACGGGCCGAAAGGACGTCTTCAGTCCGCACACGCTTGACTCCGATGGACCGACCTCCGAACATTCACTACCCTCGCGCGTTCTTCATTCAGCTCTGGCAGCCCCTCGAGGCGTGTACATGAGTGTCGAATAGCGCCTGGAGGGACCTACGCGAACAGTCGCTGGCGAGGCACGGGCCCGCTGCAGTGACATCTCAAAGGAAATATGAGAAAGACTATACCACTAGACATAGCCTTCAGCAAATCTTGTACGCACGCAACAACAGTGCAGGAGCAGCTACTGAATTGTGACTCAAGCCGCCAGCGGGCTGACGGTCCGACCGACTCCCGAGAGTGCCGATGTGCTCTCGTCCGCTTATCATCGCAGCAAAAGTATCGCTTTCATCACATCAACGGACGATGTGCCCAACAGTCTCCTCGGCGCACTCAACCTCAGGAGTGATAAGTAACTCACAAAGTTCTGTGGGTATTCGCAAATTACAACTATGAAGGGACCGTAACACGTCTTTCGCCAGGTGAGTAATACAGTAGTAAAACAGCCACGATGCAGATCGTACACGTCGTTCCCCAAATGGTCTTCCAACGACTCATTCGTTCATGACACATCTTCACGCTAGTACCCGGGACTGATCTTCGCACCTCAGCCTTCCGACTACTTCGTCTGCGCAGGCGGCGCCTCGGCCGCCGCCTCCTCCGTCGTCGGGTGCTTCAACCGCTGCCCCTCTGCGACCTTATCGTGCTTGCCCTCGATCTTGCCCAGCAGCACCTTCGCCTCGCCCTTCATCTTCTCCATGAACGTCGCCTTGCGCTGTGTCTGAGTATCTTGCACATGCGGCGGCTTTTGCTCTTCCGGCGGGCGGCTGGCATCCGCTTGCGTCGCGCCGAGGCTCTTCTCGCCCTCCGCAGTCTGTGACTCGGGGTGGCCCTTTGTCTCTTCCGGAGGGTGTAGCTCAGCGGGATGGTATTCGGTATCATAGCCGGAGCCCTGCATAAGAGTGTCAGGTGAGTGTTCGTATTCTGCAAAGAATGAAACCATGGCGGGCGCCGAGGGATGGACGGGGGAGGCAAACCGCCTCTACAGCCGGTAGGAGACCCTACCTTCGGCTGTCCATCACTTTCATCGTGCTCCAAGTCATCGCGGGCATGGTCACCATCGACGGCGTTGCTCCCCCACCTCGCACCGGGACCGCCCAGCCCATGTGCACGTGGACGAATATTCGCATGGAGGGGGTCTGCCTGCACCGCGCGCCGCTGCCCGTTCCCAATGTCCAAGTCCTTCGGAGTCAGACCCTTAGAGCCCCAATCTCCAGACTGGGGGATACGGGTATGCGCCCGCACGCTCATCCATTCAAGCCATGCCCGCCACGCACTAGGAAATCCAAAGGCAACTCACCTTGTTCGGTTGTCCCTTGGGTTCCGACTGGCCGCTGGCCTTCTTGCCCTCATCCTTCTTGTCTCCTTCCTCCTTAGGCTTGGCCTCAATGGTCTTCTCCTTGTCTTTGCGCTCGACAGTCGGTGCGGCTACGCCGCTGGCAGCGTGCGAGCCTCGCGAGTCCATTACGTTCACGCCTTGCCTCCCCTGATCGTCGCGCGTGACAACAAGTGCACCCACACCAGTGGCTCCGGTCGGGCCAGTGAGGCCCGCTCCAGGATCGCCACGCGTGCCCGTCTGTCCCGTCGTGCCTGTGCCTTGACGTTCGTCAGGAAGGCGCGCGACGCCCTGCTCGCTGCGGTCGCCGATGAGCGCGCCGACACCCGCGACATGGCGCATATCGCCGAACGCGGCCTCGTTGCCGTACTTCTCGTCCGAGGGCAACATTGCGACCTGGGCGGCGGTGTCGACGTTACCGGAATCGTACTGAGGATGAATAGACTCCTCAGGGAGACGGGCGACGTGTGATTCGTTCTGGTAGCCCGGGAGCGCGCCCGCGCCAGAAGAGCGGTCGCCTGGCTGGGCCCCCATGAACTCGCGAGATGGGAGCGTCGACGCGGTGACGGCTGTTGTCTGCGTTCCTGGTACTACGGATCGCGCGCGTTATTCGTCGGATAGAAAGGCGTACGTTCGAAAGGCGACTTACCATACTGCTTCGCGGTGTTCGAAGCTTGCTTCGCGGTGCCTTGAACGGTTCCCGCGGCTTGTTGAGTGGTGGCCTGAGCGGTCTGCGCGGCGTTCTGCGCGGTCTGCTGCGCGGTCCGTGCGGCGGACTGGCTGCCGCTCAGAGTAGCGTCCTTGAGCGCGTATGTGGCCGAGGCGAGGGTCGCCGCGACCGTGCCAGCGGTGACATAGCGCTCCTCGTCCGTGTTCTCTTGGGGGAGTTTGGCGACGCCGGGCTCGTTCATCGGGCCGGGGAGGGACCCAACGCCGCCGACGTGTTCGCCTGTACTCGCACCACCGTACTCGGTGGTAGGGAGGGAGGTCTTGTGCTCGGCGTCATGCTCGGATGCGCGAGCGGTGGACATGGTCGAGGTCGCGTGTGACGTAGCTATGACGCATCGAGGTCAGTTCATGAGGGGTTTGTGGAGAATCAAGGCACGAGAAAGGCAAGAATACTCACGGATGTAGGAAGTGACGGTGTCGACAACGCCCTTTGGCAAGTAAGACGCGGCGGTGGTAGCGGCATTACTTGCCATCTGGGAGGCGACCTCCGCAGCACGGACTGCCGTATCCCTGACCGACGTCTGGGCTGCAGGGTTTGAATCGCCGGGGGTAACGGGGTATGCACCGGGTACTTGATCGCCTGGAGGGACGAACTGAGGATCGAAGGGACCCTTGTTGGGAGAGTCGGTGGCAGAAATGGAGGAGCCGCCGAGAGGGGAGGGGTTGATGGCCATCGAGTGGGTGGAAGGCTGGTTGGTGGCGGGTGCAGGGTCTGTGCGGGCGAATGCGGCGGCGGTGGTGGACCGGGCCCACTCGTTGGCAGGAGTGCCGGGGTGGGTGGTGTTGAGGGTGGGTGGGATGCCGGCCATGTTGATGTCTTTAGCTTTAGTTTGTAGTCGTGAAGCAGAAGTAGAGGAACAGTAGTGAGGGTCGTGAGTATCGTGAGGGAATCGCTGCAGTCCTTGGGCTTATATGGCCTTCCTCTGCGGAGTTCCTTATATGCTCTCGCCTGCCCCCTCCCAGACGTCATGGCAGACGTGACGTCACTCGCTCATTACGGGAGGTGAAGTGGACGAGTGCACTGCCACTGGCTACGACTGTCTCCACTCGCACCAGTCCCACCCTGTCATCGAATCGCTACGTGTAACGACTAGCTGAAGATGGAACGTGCGGGAATTGCACCACGCACAACCGTTGGACTACCCGTCCCACTTTCCCAGCCCGTTACAGCCACTAAGCACCGTTACCTCGGGTGACTAAGCCGGGTACTGCCGTACTTCTCTGTGACGGTGCGTCATCCGTGACGCCACCGTTACATCCCCCCTCTCTCGATCGAGGCCTGGGGAAACCAAATGCCATTGGTTGAGCCGGGGTTCGAACGCATTCACTGACGTTCCACCAAATGTAACGACTAGCTGAAA